AGGGTTTAGGGTTTAGATTTAGGATTTAGGGTTTAGGTTTAGAGTTTAGGGTTTAGGGTTCAGGGCTCAGGGTTATGGGGTTTAGGCTTTAAGAGTCTTGGGGCTTAAGTTATTATACAGCGACCACTATGAGGAATACTACAAGAAATGGGGTTTGAAGTCCAGCGCTTAGGTTGCTGCGTTTAGGGATGAGGGTCTGGGATTTAGGGCTTTGGGGTCAGGGCCTAGGGCTCAAGGGATTCTATATAGGGTTTGGGGTTTAGGGTTTAGGGGGGGCAAAGATAAAGAATACTACAAGGATCCATGACCCTTGCTAAACAGAGGGAAGCCCTGGGGGCTGGCCTTGTTGAAAATTGACGACGGTTGCTACTGCTGGGTTTGGGCTTAGGGTGCTAAAGCCCCAAACCCTCAGACCCCAAACCCTAGACGCTAAACCCCAAAATCCTAGACCCCAAACCCTAAATCATACTTGCCAAGGTAAAGGGAAAGCCTAACGCAGGGTTTTGTCCATCAGCAGGACAGGGAGCAGCACTAAAGCTCCCCACGGTTTCGAGCTCTTCAAGCTACATGGTTTAGTGTTTTCAGGTTTAGGGTTTAGAGTTTAGGGCTCGGGAATCTGCAAGGGCATCCGTAGCTGATGTGAGGTCTAGGGTTTAGGGATCTGGGCTTAGGGCTCCAGCGCTTTGATGTGGTTGGCGAAACTTTTTCCCAACGTGGGATCTGAGGACTAATACGTCTAGGCCTACCAACTCGGGATTTGGAGAGCCTGAGGTTACGGATTTGGATGCAAGAGCACTAAGCCAAGATTTGAACAGGAAGACAAATCTAAACCCTAAATCCTAAAGCCTGAACCCGAAACCTGAAACCCTAAACCCTAAACACTCACCACGGCTTTAGCGACGTCTGGAGGGCTAGTCACACTGTGAATGCTCCTGCCGCATCCTCCATGACAGACTCCCCAACCTGGAAGCCCCTGCAGGGTTTCTATAAATAAGACGCCGCAATGGTAATCATCCCGAAGCCTTACACCCTAAGCCCGAAACCCTAAGCCCAAACAACCACAACCCTAAGCCCCCAACCCCACACCCCAAGATGCCTGAAGCCCCCCAAAAACCCTACGTCCCAAAGCCCGAAAGACATCCCCTCTAGCGACTCTAGAGGATTTTCGTAGAGATGACACAAGGATCATTGTGGGTTCCCTTTTAGGTCTTTTTGGGTTTAGGGTTTTGGGTTTGGGGGGGAATCTCGAAATTGGCAGTACCCATAATAAGGATTAGAATTTGTCGGTCTGTTTTGGACTCCCCCTATTTACGGAAAGCACCTGCTTGAGAAACTCCCAAGCACTCAAGTGCATGTGAGTCCTTTCTGCATGCTGCAATCAGAAGCATCTGACATCGGCTACAGATGGCGTGTATCCATGCTCCATGCTGCGAGATTTGCAACATTCAAGCCGAAATCCCCTAAACCCTAAACCCTAAACCCTAAACCTTAGGCATTTGCCAGCAACTCTTGCATCTCGGGGTTCCCAGCTGCGATCATCAAAGCCGTCTCGCCTTCGTTGTTCTCCAAGTTCTTGTCGGCACCAGCTTCCAGCAGCAACTGCGCAATCTCCACATGTCCGTTACGGGCTGCATACATCAGTGGGGCTTCGCCAAAGTAATCGCTCCTGTTCGCATGCGCACCAGCCTTCAAGAGCAGCTGCACAATATGCACATGGCCATCATCCTCAACTGCGCGGAGGAGAGGCGTTTCCCCACCGTCCGGGTTCCGAAAGTCCTTATCGACCCCAGCCTCCAACAAGAACCGCGCAGTCTCCAGGTCGCCACTGCCGCAGGCTTTAAGAAGCCTGGGTTGCTGTTAAGGANNCCTTAACAGCAACCCAGAAGCTCCTTACCAGCCTCGAACTTTTGATCGGCTGTGGCCAGGGGCAGCAAGACGAGTTGTAAGTCCATCGCAGCATCCAGCTGTGTAGTGTTATCCAAGGGGTTGCCATCATGAAGCAGCTGCTGCATGCAAAGCGGGAAGCCATGGAGACTTCGCAGGGAACGCTTCAGGTCCCTTACGCTACGGATCTTCTCGTCCTCCATGTTAAGGGGAGGCAGCTCTTGCCCTGACACCCTCCAGATGCGGAGCATGGCGGAAGAGGCGGATCCACGGGCTGCTGTGGCTCAGGTCTACAAGTATGCCTCTCCACCTGTTAAACGCGCAAATGTACAACCAAAGGAACTGTGCTAGAAAGACGCAGAAGGTCTGAGTTGTGCACCTAAACCCTAAACCC